AATTCTTAAAGTAGGGTGATAGGTATAGGTATGCAGGAGATTATATACTTCCTTCTTCTTTTGTATGTTTGAAAATTTTTCATAATAAAAACTTTTTAAAAATTCACCTGTATCCTAGATCTGTACTTCTGATCCTATATCACTAAAACAGAAACTCCAAAAAGAAGATAGTACTTCCTGTCACAGATGACCCAGTCACCAGCAGTATGTGACCCAAATCTTCCCTAATCCCTGCTGTACCCACCCTGACAGGACCTTTGTCTGTTGTACTCACAAAGATACCACCCCATGCCCCTACACCAGACTAAGGGAGCAAGAATACCAAAACTGAGCTTAGCATGTCTTGAGTCCAATGTATCATCTAGGGGCTCCTGCTAGCACCACGGTCAGCTCCACAAGTTGGTTTATGACACCATCTGGAAAGTTCTAGAGAGTTTGCTGAGCTCAAGGATATGCCCAAAAAAGCTGTAGTCCCAGGCCACCATGTCAAAGAGTATGACAGAGTTCTGGAAGGTGTCCACTCATCATTGGTCCCTTTAGACGGATTAGACCTCCTACCCATTGTAATTTGGGTAAGTCTTTCAGGACAACCTCAGGTAATTGAATTTATCTTAGTGAGGATCACCCTCCTTCTTGCATCTTCCAAAGTTGATTGCCTGGCTGCATGTTCTAAATATCTGCTCCTGGCCATTCTCTGGCACCCTACTGGGAGTCTCTTTCCTGACTTACTGATTTTTGAGGCCTAGCAAACTCTCCGCTCTAAACACTACCTGACTTAGAGGAATATGTACAACATTATGTTAAGTAAACAAATTAAGTCGCAGAGTTATATATATAAGAGAATAGTATAACCCCATTAAAAAAATTTTTTAATGTTTATTTATTTTTGAGAGAGAGAGAGAGAGAGGGTGAGCAGGGGCAGGGCAGGGGCAGAGAGAGAGGGAGACAAAGAACTCGAAGTGGGCTCTAGGCTCCATGCTGTCAGCACAGAGTCCGACGTGGGGCTCAAACTCATGAACTGTGAGATCACGACCTGAGCTGAAGCTGGATGCTTAACCGACTGAGCCACCCAGGCGTCCCTATATTCCCCATTTTTAGGAAAAAATTGAACAAAAACCTTGGATTGGGTGGACCTGGGTTTGTAAGAACATGAAATGGGTATGGAGCATACTTACCAGAATGTGTTGTCCTAGAGGGATGAGGGTTATGTACGAAATTTCTAAGCTGTTTCTAGAACTAAGCGGGAAATATAAAGGCATAGTGCTCCAGTCATCTATCGCTGGATAACAAACCACCCCAACACATAATGACTTAAACCAATGGCAACACTACTTTTTCTCACAAATTTGTAATTTGGACAGGTCTCTATGGGGACTCCATTCAGTGTCAGCTGGAGCAGTTTATTTTTTATTTTTTTTTTTTAATTTTTATTTTTATTTTTATTTTTTTTAATTTTTTTTTCAACGTTTATTTATTTTTGGGACAGAGAGAGACAGAGCATGAACGGGGGAGGGGCAGAGAGAGAGGGAGACACAGAATTGGAAACAGGCTCCAGGCTCCGAGCCATCAGCCCAGAGCCTGACACGGGGCTCGAACTCACGGACCGCGAGATCGTGACCTGGCTGAAGTCGGACGCTTAACCGACTGCGCCACCCAGACGCCCCATGGAGCAGTTTAAAGACTAGAGGCTAGAATCATCCAGTGGCTCACTCACTCCATGTCCAATGATTGACGCTGGCTGTCACCCAGGACATTGGCTGGGGTTATGAGCTACACATGGCCTTTCCATGTGGCTGCTTGGCTTCCTCACAACATGGTGTCTGGGTCCCAAGGGTGAGTGTCCCAAGAGACAGCAAAGAGGAAACTGTACCAGCTATTCTGACCTAGACTTGGAGGTCACACAGCATCACTTTCACTGCATTCCATTCACTGAGATAGTCACAAAGGCCTTCCCAGATTCAGGAGACAGGAAATAGATTCCATCTCTTGATGGGGAAGTGGCAAGGTCCTGGAATAGTCTGTGAAACCAGCAATACTGTTGTGGCTGCATTTGGAAAATATAATCTTCCATATGTAGACACAACTATTTTAATTAATGAAACTTAGGGTGGAAAATGTTCAGCATTAGATAGGAAAACATACTACATAATTACATTAAAACAGTGTATTATTTGGGGCACCTGGGGGCTCAGTCGGTTGAAGTGTCTGACTCTTGATCTCAGCTCAGGTCTTAATCTCAGGGTTGTGAGCTCAAGCCCTGCGTTGGGCTTCACGCTGGGTGTGAAGCCTACTTAAAAACAAACAAACAAAAACCCAGTGTGTTACGGGTGGAGGAATAGACAAACAGAGTCAATAGAAAAGAAGAAGGTCCAGAAACAGACCCAACTAAAAAAGGGAACTTAGCAGGCACCTGGTGGCCCAATTGGTTGAGTGTCCGACTCTTGATTTTAGCTCAGGTCATGATCCCAGTGGAGCCTGCTTGAAATTCTCTCTCTCTTCCTCTGCCCCTCTTCCCTGCTCATGCGCGCTCTCTCTCTCTCTCTCTCAAAGATAAAAATAAATAAATAAAATAAAAATAAACATAAAAAAAGGGAACTTAGTACCTGATAAGAGTATGAAAGGAAAGCTATAACAAGAAGGAAATGAGGGGCGCCTGGCTGGGTCAGTTGGTGGAGCACGCAACTCTTGATCTCTGGGTTGTGAGCTCTAATCCCACATTGGGTATAGAGATTGCTTAAAAAAATTAAGTCTTTAAAAAAAAGAAGAAGAAGAAGTAAATGATAAATATTTTGAAAAGACTGTCCGTCTATTTGGAAAACAAACAAATTAAATTAGATCCTATGGAAGACATTGTCGATTGGCTCTTGAAGAAACATTCCCAAAACTCTTTTCCGTTGCTCACTGAAGGTAAGTTATATCTTTACTTTTATGGTAATAATTCTATTACTCTTACTCTTTACCACATATGTATTTATCCATAAACAATATATTAATGCAGTTTTGCCTGCCATCAAATTTTGCAAATTGCATCGTACTGTATTGTTCTCTTCCGTGTTATAGTTCTTTCACGGTTTCTAAAGATTCGTCCTTGTAGATGCATGTGGCTGTGGCTCATTCATTCCCACTGCCCTATGACATTCCATCGTATGAATATACCACAACTTTTCACTCTACTGTTGATGGACATTGGGGTTCCCAGGTTTTGCTAATGCAAACAGTGAAACTATAAATCCTACTGCCTCTGTCTTCAAGGCATGTTTGTAGGAGTAGGATTGTTGAATTTAAAATATTTCCATATTCGACATTATCAAGTAATTCCAAACTCTTTCAAAATGATTACAGCAAACCACGTCCCCACCAGCAGTGGGTGAGGGCTCGTCTGGGCCCACAGCCGTGTCAGCTCTCAGCATTGGCAGACTTTGGAATTGTTGCCAATTTAGTGGGTATGAAATGGCATCTTATCGTGGTTTTAATTTGGAATTTCTTGATTACTATAGAGAGTGAACACCTTTTCATATGTCTATGAACCATTTCTGCTTCTTTCTTGAAATTCCTGTTGATCTTCTCTGCCCATTTTTTGATTTGGCTATTTATCTTTTTATTTGTAGAAGGCCTTTATAAATTCCAGATAATAATCCTTTGTCAGTTATATGTCTTGAAAGTATCTTCTCCCAACGTGTGGCTTGATTTTATATACTTTTCATAGTGGTTTTAAAAATAAATTTAAGTTTTTAATATTAATGTATCTAAATTTATCCATCTTTTCTTTTATGGTTTGCTTTCTAATGTTCAACAAATTCACTCCCAATATTAGTAGGCATTGTACAATAGTGTTTAGAGCAAATTCTGAATCCAGATAGCCTAGGTTCAGATCTTGGCTCTCTCACTTACTGTGTGACATTGGGCAAATTATTAACCTCTCAATGCCTCAGTCTTCTCATCTGTAAAATAGGGATAATCACAGTACCTATCGGCTAGAGTTGCTATGAGATAAAGTGGCAACATCTGGGAGGCCCTTAAAGGAATCCTCGGCACATATTAAACTCTATATAAGTTCTTGCTATTACTGTGGTGATGCTTACCAGATAATTTTTATTGTTACTTCTCAGGGCAAGGTACATCATACCTCATTCAGCTTTATATCCCTAGCCCTTAGCACAATGCCTGGCATAAATGAATACCTGCCTTTTTTCCCCATCTCAAGTCTCTCCCCCTACACAACCTCACCTTCTACAGTGCTGTCAAAATAATCTCCTTTACAGAGCTATGATACTTTTTCTCTCTTTCCTGAAATTTCCATTTATTCCCCACCACCTGCGAATTCCTAAGCTGGCATAATTTATCCCAAACTCTTTTTCCAATCAAGTGCTCTATATTTCCCTTCATACCAAACCGTGGTGTTTGGGGGTACCTTTCCATCAGTCTATATCCATATTTGTATATGAATATCTACGAATATGTATCTACACGGCCTAGGACAGTGTTCAAGAGAATGCGCTCTGAAGGCAGACTGCTTGCCTTTGGATTCTGATTCCAGCACTTAACTACATATGTAACTGTGGACAAGTCCCTTCACTTCTCCAAATCCCAGTTTCTTTGCCTGGAAAACGGAGGCGGTAAGTACCTTCCTCAAAGAGCTGCCAGGAGCATTAAATGAGGTGTTTAGCATTTGGTATGGTGTCTAGCACACAGTAAACATCAGACACATTTTTGCTGTTACTAGAAAACCGTCTTGCCACTATATCTTTATTCCCCCAAACTCTGCAATTCCCTGGGTTCTCCCAGTACCCACAGAAGCTAGTAGTAGATAAATGGAGGCTAAAAAGGGCAAAGGTGACAAGATCAGGCATCATTGCTGTCCTCCTTACAAAAGTACACTGATGATGAGACTAGAGAATGTATTAGAAGTCAGGACTCCAAATACAGTTTTAGGTGTAACGTATCTGTTGTGCCAAACAAAATACATCCATTCAAAAAATCGTTAACCTGCAGTCCCTTACCTTTGAAATTAGATGCAAAACTTAGTCCTCACGTGCATTTTTCATAGCAGAGGGTCCACTGCTTTCATTTGACTCGCGATCTAAACAAAGCCGTAACCGAAAGGTTAACAACCCATGGCCTATTCAGCACAATGTTCTCTTCAAGAGTTCATGTGGGCATCCAGCACCCCCTGGGGGTGTCAGTCAAAATTCCAGTGTTCACCGAGTGCAGAACTACAGGTATGCAAATACATTAGCAACTCTTCGGAAGGAAATAAAATACCCACGGGAAACCAAGAAACGCTTGGCATTTTAACTTAATGTGGTACAGCTGCTGAGATTTTGAGGCCTCCATCAGAGAGCAACATGAGCCCGTGTTTGCAGATTTGCTGTGAATGCCTGTAGGCTGTGTTGAGGGCGGGGGTCGGAGGGTGGGGTGTTCAACTTATTTTTCATCAAAAGGAGGTGGTGTGAACTTTCAGCGAACCTCCATCACTACTACCCATAATTTTCCAGTTATTTTATCAGCCACTGATTCTTTTCTTCCAGTTGCTCTGACAACCGAAGGCAAAACTGAAACCCTGAAGACGAGGGCAAAGGAAAAGAAAGCTCCAAAGGGAGCCCAGCGCCCGGCCTTTCGTCCTGCGGTCCCTTTAAGAGAAGAACCTCTCGGGACCGGCAGTCCCAACCGACCCCAGTTTTAACCGAAACCTAACCCGGACTTCCCCCTCTTCACTCAAATAAGACCAACTTTGGATTTTCCCTCCCCTATTGACCAATCAGAATCTGTTACCAGGCAGACTTTAGCAGCCGCCGGTGCGAGCCCGGCGCCTTCTGTCTCCGGGTGGCCGCAACGACCAATGAGAGAACAGGCCGCGCGAGTCTCTAGGCAGATCGGGACTGCTCCAGCCACTCAGAAAAAAGAAAATAAAGCAACGCACGAGCCCGCTGGGCCAGGACCGTGGGGCTGGGCTGGAGTGAAGGTGGCTACGAGGTAGTTTCTCTTTCTCCCTTACCTTTATTGTTGCTTGTGTTGGAAGGCGACTGTTCAAAGGTAGGGAGGGGACAGTATGAGTTGGGAGGAGAGCAGAAAAAGATTGTGGCCGTATTTTCAACAGCTCCTTCGCCCATGTGCACGTGCCCCGAATCCGGGACCCCGTTCCCCCAACCGGGTTTCCTACGCCCAGCCCAGGAGTTCGCCCCTCTGAAGCCTCCCACCTTGCAGCAACGCGGGATTGAATGCAGGGGGAAGGGAGGGAGGTGGGGGTGCGCCTCAGGATGGGAGGTTGAGGGAGATGACGTAGGGACCGGCGACGTGGGGAGGGGGAGCCGCGGGGGAAGCCGTGGCGAGATTAAGTAATGAGAACTTGGGCCCAGTTTTTTCCAAGCCTGCAAGGGCAGAGTATGTTCGTATCCTTTCTGACCTCCCAGGAAAATTCAGGCGTGAGGAGAATCGGAGAACTTTGTTTTGTGGTGGTTCTTGTTTTTGGTTTTTTAAGGGGGTGAGGGCGGGACGGGGCCAGAGGCAGAAATGGACATTTCTAACGTGGATTCCCAACCCGCCTATCTCTTCCTGTACAGTTTTCCACACTCAGGAGACTGCAGGAAGCGGGGGGGGGGGGGGGGGCAGATAGAATGGGGGTGGCAGAGATCTCTTTGGGTATATATGGGCCTGGAGAAGTAATGGGATCATTTCTAATTTGGGGAGAAGGCAAGTGGTGAGAAAAAAAGACCACTGAGGACATTCAGAGGCTTTCTGTTTCTCTGTGTTTCTGGGTAGGGAGACGAGGAGCGCCTGGGGAGCGGCGGGGTGGCTCCAGGGGAAGGGAGGTTGAATCTTCCTGTCGTGTCTCCTCTCAACTCTAGCCCTCATGCCGGGATGGCAGAAGATGAACCCGACGCTAAGAGCCCCAAGACTGGGGGACGGCCCCCCTCAGGTAGTGCTGAGGCGGGAGAACCCACCACCCTTCTTCAGAGGCTCCGAGGTACCATTTCGTAAGTACTCCTCACCACCTCCAAGTCTTGCTCCAGAACCGTAGCACTTCACTTCCTCTGTAGATGAACTGGCTCTCCCTGAGCAAGTGCCTGTGAGCACTGGGAGATTCTCCATCATGGTAGCCGTTGCTGAGCACCTGTCAGGCCTCTCAGCCCTCTTCCTCTCCCTAACAGTTAGACACCAGGGAAAATCTTGTGTGTGACCTCCAGCTTTCTCCTCTCCTCCACAGCAAGGCCGTGCAGAACAAAGTCGAGGGGATCCTGGTGAGTGTTTTCGGGAAGAGGGCAGTAGAGAGATGGAGTTGGTGCAGCGGGGAGGAGGAGGAAGAGGGTATGCCTAAGTGAAAGGTTTCTGTGGGACAAGCAGTGTTGTCTTCCCCGTCAGAAGATAATTGGCTTTGCAACTTGCTGCCAGTTTGACCTTGAGCATCTTAGTTCATCTCTCTGTGACCTGTGGTATAGACACTCAGTAGGAATAAAATCAAAGCCATTCCCCTCCACTCCCCTCTCACCATGGTAGCTCACCTAGGTGCCTCTCAGATAGAGTGAGAACCCAGCGCCAGATCATTTCTAAGGTCCTTTTTCACTCTGACAGTCTCTAAGGCAGCCCAATTTGGGGGGAAGGATCAGAAGATCCTACCTTGGGTCCTTCTTGGCCTTATTTTTTTTCCCTTGCCTCTGTTCCTCCCAACCTCAGCAAGATGTACAGAAATTCTCAGACAACGACAAGCTGTATCTCTACCTTCAGCTCCCCTCAGGACCCAGTACTGGAGACAAAAGGTAGGTTTGGTGCTACAGTTGAAGGCGTCAGAGGTTCTGGTTCTTAAAGGAAGGCTCACTGAGATGGGGCTGGGTGACTAGGAATACTCATAACCGCTTGATAAAGAAGGAAATGTGCTGTCCTGGTTTACCTGGAAAAGGTGGATTCCGGGCCGAGTGATTTGGTCCAGCACTGCTGAAGTGGTAGTCTGTTGAGAACCACAGCCAACTATTAGGATCTTAGTAAGGTGTGTCCCTTTTACTTCTCTTGCAGCTCAGAGCCAAGTACACTTAGCAATGAGGAGTACATGTATGCCTATCGATGGATCCGCAACCATCTAGAAGAGCATACTGACACCTGTTTGCCAAAGCAAAGTGTTTATGATGCCTATCGGTGGGTGAATGGGGGGCTGGGGTGTGGGTTGGTGGGCTAGGACTACTCCCTCACTCCTGGAGAGCTCCCTGCCTTGATAGAGCCCCACTGACTTGTTAAGGGGTTTCCCATACTTGATGCCAGGGACCCTCCGAATCTACCCATGATTCAGATACTCACTGGTGTCTAAGTATCTTCCCTCTTTGCCCCCTCCCCCCACTTACTCAGGAAGTACTGTGAGAGTCTTGCCTGTTGCCGCCCACTCAGCACCGCCAACTTTGGCAAAATCATCAGAGAGATCTTCCCTGACATCAAGGCCCGAAGGCTTGGTGGCCGAGGCCAGTCCAAGTATCCTTGAGTGGAGAGGTTGGGGCTGGAGGATGGACCTGGGGAGGAAAACTTAGGGTGTGGAGGGCCAGGAGTAGAAACAGCCTAACCTTCCCACGGGGCTTGGAGATCCCCATTGTTGGCTGCTCTTTAACTTGTCTCAGATATTGCTACAGTGGCATACGAAGGAAGACCTTGGTGTCTATGCCACCCTTACCTGGACTTGACCTGAAGGGCTCTGAGAGTGTAAGTAACAAACAACCCTCCGATTGCATTCTTCTCTCCGAAGTGGAGGGTGACACAGCCTAGGTCATTCTGCATATAGCTTCTGGGTGTATAGGATATTCCCTTTACCTACCCGATGGCTCAGGCAGACGGTGAAGAGAATTTGTGGGTTCCTGGGGCGAGTTACTCCCATTTGCAGTCTGGTCTTGCTGTGGTTGACACTGGTGTCTGAGAGGGGCCAAGGTGGGGTGTGACTGGGCATGTCCTTCCCCACTACAGCCAGAAATGGGCCCAGAAGTAACCCCAGCACCCCGGGACGAATTGGTTGAGGCAGCCTGTGCTCTGACCTGTGACTGGGCAGAACGAATCCTGAAACGATCCTTCAGTTCCATCGTTGAAGTCGCCCGCTTCCTCCTGCAGCAGCACCTCATCTCTGCCCGGTCTGCCCCTGCCCACGTACTCAAGGCAGTGGGGCTCGCTGGTGGGTGGACCATCATCTCTCAAGTCCTGAGAAACTCTCTGCCACTTTCAACTTCATAGGCCCTCCCAGCTGCTAGGGTAGAGACACCTTGCATTTGCTTTCTATTTCTAGTGGCCCTTATAGGACATTAGGTCATGCCTTAGACCGCCTTCTTCCTCCTTCTCCACCAGTCAGAGTTGCCTCACTTGTCCATTGTTTCCTCCTCACCCTCGCCTTACTACCTTTCCTGCACCTCCACAGATGACGATGAACATGCCCCTCGGGAGCGGTCCTCTAAATCCAAGAATGGTGTTGAGAGCCTAGAGGGTGGAGCCCATAAGAAACCAGAGAGACCAGCCCAGGTAAGGAAGTTGATGCCCCTGACCTTGCTGCCCTGGGCTGGGGGCTTTTGGTATCCCTTTCCCCATATTTTCTCACCCTTCTATGCCTGTGTTGACTCCAGTGTCCAGTCTTCCCACTTAACTGTGTCCTCTCTTTACCTTTTAGCCACCTAAGGAGCCGGAACCCCGTGCTGGGGCTGGCCCTCCTGCACGTGGAGAGCGGAAGAAGAGTGTAGTGGAGAGCCCAGCCCCAGCAGCCAGTAACCCACAGGTTAATGCCCTGGTGGCCCGGCTGCCTCTGCTCCTTCCCCGGGCCCCTCGCTCACTTATTCCACCACTCCAAGTCTCTCCACCCATCCTGGCCCCCAAGCTTTCTTCAGGCCCTCTGAAAGTGGCTCTGCCCAGTAGGGCTGGGGGACCCCAGGCAGCTGTGCCCATCATTAACATGATCTTACCAGCTGTTCCTGCTTTGCCTGGACCCGGGCCTGGGCCTGGGCCTGGGCCTGGGCCTGGGCAAGCCCTACCTGGGGTGCTCGCTCAGCCACGGGGCACAGAGAACAGGGAGGTAGGCATAGGTGGTGACCCAGGACCCCATGACAAAGGTGTCAAGAGATCAGCAGAAGTACCTGTGAGTGAGGCCATTGGGCAGGATCCACCAGCTAAAGCAGCAAAGCAGGATATAGAGGATACAGGAAGTGATGCCAAAAGAAAACGGGGGCGCCCTCGAAAAAAATCAGGTGGAAGTAGGGAAAGGAACTCTACCCCTGACAAGTCAGCAGCTGCCGTGGACTCTGCCCAGCCCTGCCGGTTACCACGGGAGACATGGGCCTCTGCAGGGGAGAGCAACTCTGCCAGAGGGTCAGGGAGACCAGGGCCAGTGGGAGGGGCTGAGAAGGGGATGGTGCTTGCCCGGGATCAGGAAGATGGTGTTTCCAGAGGAGGAAAGGGCCCCAGTTCCCGGCATGCCAAAGAAGCAGAAGATAAAATTCCTCTGGTCACCTCAAAAGTGAGTGTCATCAAGGGCAGTAGAAGCCAAAAGGAGGCTCTTCCAAAGGGAGAGGTAGACACCGCAGCACAGGGTAATAAAGACTTAAAAGGGCACGTGCTTCAGAATTCCTTATCCCATGAAGGGAAAGACCCCCAAGCAACACCCCCTTGATAGGTACGTGGGGAAAAGTGTTTATATTCACATTAACTCTACCTGCCTAGTAGAGGCCCTTCTCTGCACTTGCTTCTCATTTGGCTCTTCTTTTCCTAAGGCAGTTCATTCTCCTGTAGAGACTGCTGAGGCCCCCTTGTCTTACACAGTGTCTGGCTCCTGCCTCTGATGTTTCCAGCTCAATACCCTTGGCTTTAGAGTCCTTGATAAATGTAGTGACTGTCTTACCTGGATCTCTGCTATCCTGTGGGAGGATAGGGATGGAGTAAGTATGATGAATGTATCGGCTAGGAATCTTTCGGTTTTAAATCAAAGAAAACCTTACAAACTGGCTTAAAAATTAAGACTTCCTGGCTCACGTAACCGTGAAGTCCAGAGGTAGTACTGGCTCCAGGGAGAGCTGATGTGGTGGCTCAACCCGTTTCTAAATACCTGATCTCCCCCCCTGCTGCTGCCTTCTATAGGATCGTTTTAAACCTGGGCCACCTCATGGCTGCCAGCACTCCTGGGATTACACGTTTTCTCATTTATATCCAACCTGAAAAGGGAACATCTTTGTGCCAGGAATCTTAGCAGAAGCATCAAGATTGACTCTGATTAAGCCATCCTGGGTCACATGCCCACCCCTAACCAATCACTGTGGCCAGAAGGATGGTATATGCTAATTTGTTCATTCTACATCGGGGAAAGCCTGGGATCAGCCTCCTTAGAATCACAAAGGTCTCCAAACGGGCAGTTCCTGGGGAGGCAGCTGACGCGGGCCACACTATAAAGTACATGTGGTTTTAGCTTGCTAGGTTAGGATCGGCTACACCTGTTTCCTTTTTCCCCTCCCTGTCTTGCATTTTCCTTACTGCAGCTATAATAATAGTCTCTTTCCTCTGGTAGGCTCAGAAGGAATGAGAGGGAAGTCCCTCTCCTTTAAGGACTCTCTTTGGTCTCGTTTAGATGATACTTCCTACATTTCAGAGATGGAGATCCTTCCCTTTCCTGTTTCTGAATGTTTGTTTTTTCCTCATTCTGCTTCCCTACTCATTCTGCTTTCCCGACCCTACTGCCAGCTTTCACCAAGTGGAGTGAAAGATGAACTTCTTAGCCATTTTATTAAATCCATTCTGTATCCACCAGGTGTCAGTCTCTTGTCATACATGTGTCAGGACTTAGCCAGGATTGTGGGGTTTAGGCTAGGTGTGTGGAAGGAGGTAGCTCTGCAGATCAGCACCAATAGGAAGGGAACCCAGACCTTATGTTCTCCTTTGGAAAAGCAGTAAACCAATATTTACTGAGGACCTACTTTGTCTTCTGCGTAGGGTAGCTTCTGTCAGGGAATCTGGTTCTGCCCAGGAAATAAATTTTCTTTCAGGGAGACTTCATTTCCACCACAGCATATTTTTTAAAATTATAATATGTAATATTTGATATATATAAAGAATATATTTAACATGAATAAATTATGAAACATAATTAAGTGAATACCTTTGACCCATCACTCAAATTATGCATTAAAACATTAGAAATACCGTTGAGTTTCTTGTGTTCCTACCCTGGCCTATTCTGCTGCCTCTCCCCAGACAATAACCACTGTCCTTAACTTTGTGTTTATTAGTTACCTACATACACACACACACACACACACACACACACACACACACACACAAATATATGTGTATATGTGTATCTCTATATTTAACCATATACATACAATATTCTTTTAAAATATTCAGTTTTGCCTTTTTAGCTTTACAAAAATTTTGTACTCTAATAGTCCCCTGCAGTTTTTCACCTAACACTATTTTTAAGATTCATCTATGTTGTAAGTAGCTATAATGCTCATTTTTCACCTGTAGAGTATTCTACACATTCACCTATTACTGGACATTTGGGTTGTTTCCATTTTTTTGCTATTACAAACAGTGTTGCTATGAACATTCTTGTACCTGTTAGTGCCTTTTTTTTTTAAGATTTCGAAAAAAAGGTTTCTAAGATGGTTCATTTGATCTGTGCATCCTCTGAGTTGGGAACTGTTCCCTCTCATTCTCTGGAAGAGTTGACATCAGATCAGTAAAACTCAACTGTTGAACCATTTTTGCCTGGCATTCCTTTTTGGGAAAAATTTTAACCATTGATTGGACTTTCTATTTTTTGTTGAGTCAATTTAGGTTAAGTGTTTTTTTTAGGATTTTGTAATTTCATGTCTTTTTTTTTAATTAAAATTTTTTCCTTTTTTTTTTCCCCTCTGTGCTCTCTGGGTAGTCATGTACTTTGTTTTTCATTTCTACTATTTACTTTTACCTTCTTTTGCACCAGAAATTTGTTATTTTACT